GGGGATGTCTGGTTGTGGATGTGGTTGTCCTCTCTGAGATTCCGGAATGGATGATGTGTAGTTCGAGCACTTTAATGTTTGAGTGGGTTTTAAATTGTATATTATGTTTTAAATGTACTAAAGTATTTGATGTTTTTATTAGCAAGTTTCCTTGCCATGTAAGCCGCCCTGAGCCCTACGGGGGAGGGCGGGATATAAATTTAATAATAAATAAAATAAATAAATAAATTTGTTACTCAAGTTTTTATACATTTTGGGCCAACCTATCTGGGGTTAGATGCCATCTATAGAACATTTTATATAAGTTTTCTTTAAATGAAACAGTTTTAGTCAACTTAATATTCACATTCCATATTTTACTCCAGTGTAACAAATCTATGTTATAACCTACATTTTGCACCCATTTTGACCATACATTCTTTATCTATTTCATCCTGTATTTTCAATTGCATCAGCATACCATACATTTTCTTAATAAGTTTCTCTCTTGAAGTACATAATAATTTTTCAAATGTACCTTGTCCTAAATAAAATCCGTCTGTCTGTCTGTCCTTTCTATATCTAGATTCCACTTGCACTCTAGTCCACCAATCTAAGTTTATTTCCCTTTCCTTTAATTCTTCCTGAGATTTTAAATTATTTCCATCATATAACAATTCTGCATATCTAATAACTGTTTGTTTTGAAGTCAAAGCTGGTTGAGAAAAAGCTTCCACTGGAGATACCCTTCTTGGAATTATAGTATATATCAGTGGATGAATCTTTTCCCAGGTTGTCAATAATGATCTTCTTATCATACGATTTTTAAAATATTTATGTCCAGAAGCTTTCCCATACTATAAAAATGCATGCCATCCCAGGACATTTCCTTTGGGGATTTTGAAGTTAGACTGTCCCAATAGTAAGCTGGTACTAACCACTGAGGAAGACTATAGTTTTGTAGACAAACACGTAGCCCTCAGTCTCTGACATGGTGCCTTCTCATGTTCTTGACCAGCACACAAAGCAGTTTATATACAAAAGCTCGCAATGCCCAGCCATGTCATGTTTTCCCCTGGGCACTAGGCTCAGAACTCTGGGCATGAGATTTCTGTAGTGAACGTCAATAAACCAAAAGTAGGTTTGCAGCTTGCAGATACACACTTGAACAACATACACAAGGTTACTGCAGCACAGATATTTTGATGCAATAATTCAGAGCAGAGGGTGTCAGTTATCAGACACTGTTAAATAAAGAAAACATTGCAAGAGTGCTGATGTTTTAAGCGTGCTTTTAATTCTTTAATTGTGTTTGTGTCCTTTATAAAGTTTATATCTCCACTACCTGGTATTACACCCGATAACACACATGGCCCGGCCCAACAAGATGTCATTTATGTCAGATCCGGCCCTCATTACAACTAAGTCTGACACCCCTGCTGTAGATTCACCCAAGTCACATCTGGGCTGAATGTGATGATGACAAAATAATTTCTACCCCCCTTTCCCCCCCCAGGCCTGACACAGGTCTCACAGAAGTCTGAGATAGTTTGGCAGCATATATAATCCATGCAGCTCATAGGTACCTAGTACTTCTCTTCTGCCTATCCCAGGAAAAGTTAACGGTGTTTAAAAATGTGTTGAGTGTACACAGGTTGAGGTTTCACACCCCTGGGAAAGGGGTTCATGAAGCAGGGAACAAACAAGCAAATGGAATAGGAAGTCCTGGAAAACACCCTTCCTTCCTCTTTTGTCTCACTAACAGGCACTGGAGAGATGCTGTTGAGCCATCATCCTTTCAGAGGAGTAGAAACGACTGCTGCACCTCCAGTCCAGGTAGGGGATTTGAGCAGGGGACAGCCTGGGTCCCCCCTCCTTTCTCAAGGGGGCATTTTGCTCCTGCAGTTTCTGCAAGGTGTCTGGGCAAGAGAGGCTCTGAATGCCACTCCTTTTGCCCATCCCGAGCCGTACATCCTGTACCCTCCCAGACTTCCAGTGTTTAATCTCTGCCTGGCATGATCTCTGACGAGGGAATCTGCTTTTTCTTTCAGTGTCTGTTTTCCTTTGAGGAGGTGTCCGTCTATTTCACTGAGGCAGAGTGGGCCCTGCTGGATCCAGACCAAAGAACTCTTTACTGGGAAGTCATGCTGGAGAACTATGGGAGCGTGGCCTCTCTGGGTAAGGATCTTTCATAGGTGCCAAAGGTGCGAATTGCATCCATCATGATGAGGGATATGTCAAAGTGCTGGACCACAATACAGCATTTTGATGCCTGTCCTGCTGCTTGACCAGAGGCAACTGGTCCGGCCATCCCAGTGTTCCGGCCATCAGCCAGAGAAAGTGTCCTGGCTTGAGGCAAAGGTGGGATGAAAGGCCCAGAGGAGGAGGAGGATGGATTTATACCCCACCCTTCACCACCCAAAGGAGTCTCAGAGCATCTTACAATCTCCTGTCCCTTCCCCTCCCCACAACAGACACCCTGTGAGGTAGGTGGGGCTGAGAGACTTTTCTGATAACTGCCTTTGAGAGAACAGCTCTGAATGAACCTGTGACTGGGCCAAGGTCACACCAGCAGCTGCATGTGGAGGAATGGGGAATCAAACATGGTTCCCCCAGATTAGAGTCCGCGCTCCTAGCCACTACACCAGACTGGCTCTCTGGAAGACTCTGGAAGGGGCCAGATCTTAATTTCTCTGTTCCCAGCCTTGAAAGCACACCCTTCCCCTGGATGGGTTTACAAACATCCGCTCTGACCGTGACCTGGAAATAATCTGTCTCCCTCGTTCTGTTTGGGATTGTGGGCGTTGATCTTGACCATCTTTTGTCCTTTCTGGAGAATTTTACTCTTGCTTGGATTTCTATCCTTCCCCACATAAGAATTATCACTTGAGCGCTCTCTCGGGCTCTGTCCCTCTCTCTGTCTGTCTCTCTCTGCGAAAGAAGCCAGAATTATAAGAGAGACTGGTGGAGACAGACAACAGCCTTGCATCCAAAGAAAGGCTGGAGGGTCCCTCAAGAGGATCTCCTTCCCAAACCGGCCGACTGAAAGTGGGTACCCTTCGCAGTTATGTCAAGGGAACGGGCAAGGAATACCAATGTGACTTTTCTGATTAACTTCTAAGTGGCTCTTAGTTTGGTAGAATTATAAATCCCGCTGGCAATACAGCAGGGAGGCCTTAGAATCACAGAAGCTCCAGTCCTCTCATCTACGGGGGCCTGAGAAATCTTCTTCAAGCTTTGTGGAGACTAAGAGAGTAGCCCTGATTCCAGTGGTCAGCTGTGGCACTTGAAAGACTGTGGTAATGTTAAATCCTGGATATTCTCGGGAAAGGTAGGAAGTTAGTTAAGGTCAGCCAAGCTGGACGAGGCCAAAGGGCCGTGAATCCTTTCCTACTGCATCCGTTGGGCCTTACCTGCTTTCCAAGGTGCTAATATTATCTCTCTTTTTATTCCACCAGAGGACTATCAGAGGAATGAGGAGGGTGATGAACTTCATCCACAATTGCCAGATTCAGTTAATAATGAAGACCTGAAAGGAAACATCAGCACTCAAGGCAGACCTAAGAGAAAGAAAGAGAGCCATTTGTTTGAGAAGAGAGATGGTAGAATGCATGATGTACATTTTACAAAGCACAATATAATGAAGACAAGTACATCCATTCAGTGTAAGAAGTACTTCAAATATAGATCACAGCTTCCTGTGAACCAAAGAGTACAAATAGGAGATAAACATTTTGAAAACTCAGAGTGCAGAAAGATATTCAGTTTGAATGCTAATCTTCAGTGGCATAAAAGAACCCCATCAGGGGAGAAACCTTTTGAATGCTCAGATTGTGGAAAGAGATTCAGTGGGAGTGGCAGTCTTCAAGTGCATAAAAGAACCCACACAGGCGAGAAACCGTTTGAATGCTCAGAGTGTGGAAAGAGATTCAGTGGGAGTGGCAGTCTTCAAGTGCATAAAAGAACCCACACAGGCGAGAAACCGTTTGAATGCTCAGAGTGTGGAAAGAGATTCAGTGGGAGTGGCAGTCTTCAAGTGCATAAAAGAACCCACACAGGCGAGAAACCGTTTGAATGCTCAGAGTGTGGAAAGAGATTCTGTACGAGAAGCCATCTTCAGTATCATCAAAGAACCCACACAGGAGACAAACCTTTTGAATGTTCAGAGTGCGGAAAGAAATTCAGTCAAAGTAGCCATCTTCAAGAGCATAAAATAACCCACACAAGGGAGAAACCTTTTGAATGCTCACAGTGTGGAAAGAGTTTCAGTATGAGTCGCTATCTTCAATATCATCAAAGAAATCACACAGTGGAAAAAAGTTTTGAACGCTCAGAGTGTGGGATGAGATTCAGTGGGAGTAGCAGTCTTCAACATAATCAAAGAACCCACACAGGGGAGAAACTCTTTGAATGCTCAGAGTGTGGAAAGAGATTCAGTGGGAGTGGCAGTCTTCAACATCATCAAAGAACCCACACAGGGGAGAAACCTTTTGAATGCTCAGAATGTGGGAAGAGATTTAGTCAGAATGGCATTCTTCAACAGCATAAAAGAACTCACACAGGGGAGAAACCTTTCGAATGTTCAGAGTGTGGGAAGAAATTCAGTGGGAGTGGCAATCTTCAATACCATCAAAGAACCCACACAGGGGAGAAACCTTTTCAATGCTCTGAGTGTGGAAAGAGATTCAGTCACAATAGCCATCTTCAAGATCACCAAAGAACCCACACAGGGGACAAACCTTTTGAATGCTCAGAGTGTGGAAAGAGATTCAGTCGCAGTAGCACTCTTCAAGAGCATCAAGGAACCCACACAGGGGAGAAACCTTTTCAGTGCTCGGAGTGTGGGAAGAGATTCAGTCGCAGTGGCACTCTTCGACAGCATAAAAGAACTCACACAGGGGAGAAACCTTTTCAGTGCTCAGAGTGTGGGAAGAGATTCAGTCAGAGTGGCCATCTTCAAGATCATAAAAGAACCCACACAGGGGACAAACCTTTTGAATGCTCAGAGTGTGGGAAGAGATTTAGTCAGAATAGTGGTCTTCAACAGCATAAAAGAACTCACACAGGGGAGAAACCTTTTGAATGCTCAGAGTGTGGAAAGAGATTCAGGACAAGTGGCACTCTTCGACAGCATGAAGGAACCCACACAGGGGAGAAACTATTTGAATGCTCAGAGTGTGGAAAGAGATTCAGGACGAGTGGCACTCTTCAACAGCATCAAAGTTCCCATACAGGGGGAGAAATCTTTTCAGTCCTCAGCCTCTCTTCTTCAGTCTCTTCACTTCAAGTCTCACAGAAGTCTGAAACATATTGGCAGCATATATAACCCACCCAAGACTTGTGGGTACCTGAGGCTTCCTTTCCGCTTCCCCCACAATATTCTAAAAATAAGTTAATTTTTTTTTGAGTATGTATAGGACAAGGTTTCACAACCCTGGAACAAGGGTGCCTAAAGCGGGATTTACACAAACGAACTAGGCAGTCTTGGCCGAAATCCTTCCTTCTTCCTTTGTGTTCCTCTCAGGCAGGGATGAGTCATCATTGACGATGTTGTGACGATAAAATAAGGAAGGGGAAGTCAGTATATAATCTGCTTTAGGTTCCCATTGGAGGAAGATGAGGGGTACAAATATGTCAAACAATGTTTTTCAAGAATGGAGATTGCATCTTTATCGGTCCCTGAGGAAGCTCTGTGTCCATTACAGCATTCAATTTAGAAACTCATCTGTGTGTCTCTCAGCCAGTAGAAGGAACATAAAACTCAATTGGGAGGGGGGGTTATACATGGTTGGATGATGCTACTTTTAATAGATGAGCATGTATTAATAACTTTCTGTTGCCCCATAGAGAGAAAAGGCATGAGGTCGAATGCAGGCAGAAAACACTCTTCTGGGAGTTTTTAACAATATTTCTGGTAGGGAAACGACAGAGCCCAGATTCTGAGAAAGGAGGCTGAATTGGACACCCCCCCACTCCCACGCCTTCAAGTGCTCACTCTGTCCACAGAAATAAACCCACTGCCTGCTGTTTTGTTTTTTAATTTTTTTTATTTTCCAAAACTACAAGAGAACAGGGAGAGGGAAACTATAAACTACAGGAGAAAGTAAAGATAAACCACTAAAACCCCAAGAGGTGGTGGTCATATAATGATTACAGTAAAAGCTTCAAGTATAAAAAAAATAATTTGTTACTTTGAAGGTGATCGCTTAAGTCCAGGTACTCTGACTTAGTAAAGAGCAATACAAAGGAACAATTATATATAAAAAAACAAAGACCAAACTTCAGAGAAAATTAGCATCTCATTTGCCTCTTCTTTCCCTCAATTGATATCCTTGTTTGGCAGCAGCTGCCCCCACGTTCTGAGTCGGAGTCATCTCCAGTTAGTGTTTCATCATCACTCCCCTTGTTGCTCTTCTCATCCTCTTCCCCTGTTGGAGCCAATTGTTGCTGCAAAAACTCACGTGCTTTCATACCAGAGTCAATTTTTCTATTATCTTTAAATTTGAAGAGTATACCTTCATATACAATCCATTTGTAAGAGATGTTATTCTTTAGTAGAAACAGAGCCAGGTCTCTGTATTTTTTCCTTTGCCGTCAATTTTAAGGGTAGTTCCATTTGTTGCTTTTAATATCGGATCTCTATCTTCTGGAGAATCTAACCACCACCTCGCCAGGCAGATTATTTTTCCTTTTGTATTCTGAATATGACCTACAGATCACATCCAATCTCGCCTTGAAGAAAATCTGCTTTCAAATCTGCAACCGGTCCCAGGGCTTCACTTATAATCTGCATAAGATTCTCCCCTTTAGTCTCAGGAACTCCCTGAAATCCCAGTGTAGAGCTTGCCTTTTCCATTTGAAGCTGTAAAAGCTGAGCTTCATTGGAGTTTCTCTTCTTTTCCATCTCCTGCATTTGCTTTTTGAGCTTTTTAGTGTTGGCATCCATGTCTTTAAGGTTCTCAGCGGTTTGCTCTGTTTTTTTTTTTTTAAGTCTCGTCTAGTTGCTGTTGCTGTGCAGCGAAGTTTTGATTGAGTCATCATTTGCTCCAGCAGGGGTTGCAAAGCTTCTGTTAGCATCTTAGAGAAGTCTATGGTTGCATCCGGTCGCGTGACCACACTCGCTGGAATGGCACTTCCTGAAGAAGGCTTAAGTTTTGGTTGCTTATCTTTCTCCGTCGTCCTCAGCAACATCTTTGAAGCTGTTTACATTTACAAAAATTTGCCAAAAGTCTCTAAAGTCTGTAAGTTGCCTGTAATTTTCTTGTAAATTTCTCACTATAGTCCCATTTTGCTTTCCGTTCCGCCCCCCTTTAAAGGCAAGCTTTAAGTCTGTTTCTATTTCCTCGGGGTGGGGTGTCCCACCCCCCCTTGCTTACTTTAGGGGGGACTTTCAGCCACTTCCCTGGTACTCGTTTCAACCAAACTCACTCTCATTGTAGATCAAGTAGATCTCACCATCAAACGTGTAAAGCACTAGACCTCTACTCTTTTGTCCCAGTGTGCGTCTATGAGTCCAGTACTGGAACACAGCGGCAAGACCGTTGGGGCATTGGAACAACTCAATCCACCAGCACCATGCCGGGGGAGAGGCGATCCTCAGTGCCCCATGGCTAGGAACCCATCGCAAGGGCTCCAGGGGGGCGCATACAGTCACACCCTCTCTCCATCCGCTGGCTCACAGATCTCGTCCTTGGGAGCTCCCAAGAGACGTGTCTGCCATTAGATCGCCAAAGCAAAAACCTGCCTGCTCTTTTGGACATGCTTTCTTTCCCTGGCGTTGACACCACTGCCTGTGGGCCGGGTCCTGCACATCTCTCCTTCCTTGGGTCTGAGTAAGCTGAAGATATTGAAGCCCCATAGAACAGTAGAAAAAGAGAAATCCCTTCCTGGGAGTGAGAAAAGCGGCTGGAAGGAAAAACAGGGAAGAGATCTCAGCTGGATCAGACCAATGGTCCATCTAGTCCAGAATCCCGTCTCACACAGTAGCCAACCAGTTCCTGTGGATGGCCAAAAACCGAGCAGAGAGGCTGAGGCCTTTCCTTAATGTGGCCTCCTGGCTCTGGGATTCAAAGGTTTAGGAAGAGCTAGTTACTTACTTAGTACTTGGTTAGTGTTTGATGGGAGACCACCATGGAAGTCAGGGGTTTCTACATAGAGGTACGCAATGACAACCCCCCTCTGAATGTCTCTTGCTTTAACCCGGATGGCTCAAGATAGCCCATTCTTGTTAGATATCAAAAGCTAAGCAGGGTCGGCCCTGGTTAGCACTTGGATGGGAGACCCCCAAGGAAGTCCAGGGTTGTTATGCAGAGGCAGGCAATGGAAAACCACAGCTGCTCCTCTCTTACCTTGAAAACCCTATAGAGTGCCAGATGTCAGGTGAAACTGGACGGCACCGCCCCCCACAACTGCTGGAAGATCTCTCTAAACTGGGTGAGTCTGCAACAGGGTTGCCAGCTCCAGGTTGGGAAATGCCTGGAGATTTTGGGGTGGAGCCTGAGGAAAGAAAGGTTTTGGGGAGGGGAGGGACTTGAATGAGGTGGAACGCCACAGAGTCACCATCTAGAGTAGCCATTTCCTCAACGATCTCTGTAGCCTGGAGAGCAACTGTAAAAGCCAGGAGATCTCCAGCTGTCACCTGGATGGTACAAAGAAAGGGAAACTGCACAGTTTAAGGACCAAATGAAAGGAAAAACTGTGCAGGATACAAAGTTCAATTTAAATAAGTTGATGTATATTGTGATATAATAAAAATATTTCAATCCAGAATTGCTTGGACAGGTTTTTTTAATTCAGTTATATCACTAACAGCCAACCGACACTATGAACGAGAATTAGAACAAGGGAACTAGTAAAGTCGCATAATGTTTTTACAGAATTAAATGTAAACACACAAAATATCAAGAACATTCCGCTCTCAGCCTTGTCCTGACCAGAAAGAGGCGAATTTCTGCAGTGATCAGCAAACCCAGTGCCCTTGTGGCAATGCCTGATATCAAGCATAGCCAAGCAATGGGAGTGGGGTGTTGGAAGCCCAGCAGAACCAATGCAATATACAGTTCCCAGCAAACCCAGTGCCTTCTGAGAGCCAGTTTGGAGTAGTGGTTAAGAGTACTAAACTGTAATCTGGAGAACTGGGTTCTATTCCCTACTCCTCCACATGAAGCCAGCTGGGTGACCTTGGGTCAGTCGCAGTTCTCTCAGAGCTCTCTCAGCCCCACGTGCCTCACAGAGTATCTGTTGTATGGAGAGGAAGTGAAGATGATTGTAAGCCACTCTGAGTGAAGGGTGGGGTATAAATCCAACTCTGTTATTTCTTCTACTACTACTACTACTGTTTATAGTTGAAGATGGGAGGCAGATAAAGGGTAGGTGGGTGAATGGCTGAGAACATAGGTGTAAACAACGGGTGGGCTCGGGGGCTTACCCCTCCTGAAATTTTCCAGGGGCAAGTGAGCCTCTACCGTGGCAACCAGCGCCAGCCAATCGAAGTAATATCAAATCGAAATCGAAGTAATATTGTAGGGTCTCCAGCCCCCCTGAGTGGCGGCGGGGGGTTCACTGGTTTAAACATGTTGGATCAGGCCAAAGGCCCATCCAGTCCAACACTCTGTGTCACACAGTGGCTGGACCTCCTGATGGCACCTGGTATTTTTGGCCACTGTATGACAGTGTTGGACTGGATGGGGCATGGGCCTGATCCAACATTGGCTTCTCTTATGTTATGTTCAGGTTTGCAGAGTCTGGGAGTGGAGCAGGATCTATTCCTTGGTCTATTCTATTCCTACTCTTTGGGGGCAGACTTTTGGGAGAGCAGGCTATGAAGCGGGGAGTAACCTCAGCAGGGTATCAACTTCAGAGTCCAATCTCCAAAGCAGCTATTTTCTTCACACACACTTCCCCTCGACAGGCTGGCTGGCACACCCACGAGGGGCGCCTGGCCAGTTGCTGTGGGGGAGAAGGGTGGATGAATCCTTCCCCCTTCCCCCAGGATGACAGGCATCTCCTTACCTTTGTCATGTGGCGTCAGCGAGGGGCCTGCACAGCAATGACTCTCCCCGACCAACTGATCCTCTAACCCAGCCCTGGCTAGAATGAGAACTGCCAGGGAGGGGGTCTTTTATAGCAGGATTTTGAAGGGCAGGGCCACCCACTGCTAGGAGCTAACGGAGACTGATCTGTGTTAGCGCAGCCTGGAGGGAACCAGGGAGTCCTCCAGCAGACACAACACTCTTCTAGGAAGGCTAGAGTGTTCTGTCTGCTGGAGGACTCCCTGGTTCCCTCCAGGCTGCGCTAACACAGATCAGTCTCCGTTAGCTCCTAGCAGTGGATGGCCCTGCCCTTCAAAATCCTGCTATAAAAGACC